AGCTTTCTAGCTTCTCAGATCCCCGAGTTATGAACTTACCCAAAAAAAACTTTGGCAGGCCCGTACGCAGGTACCACGCGGGAAATGGCGCCAATTTTGGGGATTGGGGCCGCCCGTACGTGCACGTAGATTATGTTCCCAAAGCTTCAGCCCTGTAGCTTTTGTAGGTCTTGAGATGAAAAACCGTGGAAGACGCACACACGGGCACATAGACACACAGACACACACACAGACAGCCCCTCGTCAGTATGCGTTTCTGCATTGTATAGCTGCAAAAAGCTCATAAAAACAAATAAAAATCAGTTGCGTGCTGAAAACAAAGACAATGAATTACAGGTGATGCAATTATCTAAGTAAGTTTAGACAATGCAAGTACCCTCTGCCACAGGCGGTCTCCTGGGAAGAAGCGGGGAAAGAGGGAGAGGGGAGGTGGCGATTTTTCACCTTCTCTTCTCCCTTCACTGCACGGGACCAGCTCCCAACCCACTCTTCAGCCGTCGCGCTACCCCTTCTCCCCTTCGAAGGTCTCTCTGCATCTCCCTCCTCCTCCTTCTGGATCCGCCAATGCCCTCTGCAGAAATAATTACCAAGATTTTAGTTGTTTCGAGGCGCTGCTGGCAAGGGCTGGCGGTTATCAGTTCGCCCGGCGCGGTATCACTCCCAGGCTGTGGCGAGATTCTTCACCGGTTAGGAGGAACGGATAAAAAATTCGTAAAATTTATTGTTAATTTTCCAAAAAATCCTTGCCGGGGATGCTCGGGAAATAGAGTACCAATGGCTGTCTAAAAGCAGTCAATGTGTACACTTTTACAGCGCACTGAACGACCTGGATGAATCAGTATTAACAGTCACAGTAAACCATCGAACTGTTCTGGGTACCACGGATTGTATTGGAGCTGTAGAACTGCGTCTTCGCCCACTGACGCAGATACGAATGCCTACATGGTATCGCCTGTGCAAAAAAGGCAAGTATGGTGAGGATGGGCAACAGAAATATCGTGGCGAAATTTGCCTGAAATTCGAATTTTCCAATAAACTGTGCACCGAAACGATGCAAAATCTATCGGTCTCGTCATTTTCAATCAATTCGTTTCGTGGTTTGTTCATCTTTTTTTTTTCTTTACAAGCATGATTTAACTCAGTACGTCTCTCATAGCATAGCTGGCTTTTTCACATGTGTTAGTTTCGAAATTTTTGATAAATTCACATCGAATCACACACACATGCACACACACACACACACACACACACACACACACATGTGCCACTGGTCATCGCCATGTGTTGTCAAATTCACAATATATGCGACAGACTTTGTGAGAAAAAAGTCTCGAAACTAATGCATGTGAAGAAGCCAGAAAATGCAAGTCGTGCAAGTGTACTGGTGTGTGAATGTATAAAAACTTGTATTTTTATAAGCTAGGAGACTAATTAGCTGAAAGAAATCAGTAGTGTTAATGTGTTAATGACATGCATGTGTAGATATGTGTGTATGTTTCCGTATTTTTTGTACATACGTTTGTGTGTGTATATCTATGTATATGTGTGTGTGTTTGTGTGTGGGTGTGTGTGTGGGTGTGTATGTGCGTGTATGTGTGTGTGGGTGTGTGTACATGTATGTATGTACGTATGTGTCAATATTAATGCATGAAGGTTGATAAAATAAATATATCTGAGCAAGCTGGCAATATTAATTTACCACTAGCGTATACTAGTGTTGGTGTGAATATGAGAAAATTATTGGTATTACAAAATAGTATTTCAGAATTGTTTGAGAAATAAGAATCAAGATTTGCTGTCTGTTGGAATTTCTAATTTTAATTTTTTTACGAAATCGCTAATTTTTATGAATTTGCTCTTTTGCAAGGCAGTTTGACTTTACATATTCACTTCGATACACCTGTATTACCTTTTTCTTAAATGTTCCTAAATTTGTTTAAAATTCCGAAGCTTTGCCCTCTTTGAGTTGTTTATTATGTCAAATTTTTCAGGTGGAAGCAAACTTGATACACTGAAACGTAAAATGCACATTGGTAAGAAGAAGGGGAAGAGTGGTTTCGCGGATAGCTCATCGCTTGTTAGCCTGCCACAGTATGCCACGCGACGATCATCGTTATGTGAAGTTTGTCCAACAGTGCCGAAATCGGAGCAGGCCTCAATGGTTGGCCTGATAACCCCGCCAGCTGCTTCCAGACCCTATGCAACATTACCGTACAGCGCAAAGAGTACCGGTGGTGCGCCAGGAAGCGATAGCCCATTCGGATACAATCACTCACGGCGCACCTCTGCCTCATCCAATCGCAATTCCCTTAATTCTTCACCAGTTCCAATGGCCGGTGATACAGATGCTTTTGAATCACCTGCTGTGATACAGCGTCCGCGCAGTGCAGCTTCATCAGGCTTCGGTTCGGCGCGATCAACCGTGATCAGTGGCTCCGAAATGATTTCGATTTCACGTCACGCTTCACGTGAAGAGTTGCTAAAAAACATCAACGATTTGCGGGTGGAATTGGCGAGGCGAGATGCAAAAATATACGATTTACAAGACTACATTGGAAGATTGCTTGCACGAATTATGGAAAGGGATCCAGAGCTACTGGAAATCACATCACCTCGTAGTTCATTGTACAGGCATTAGTCAAATCCAACATTCTTCTACTTGTCCCTAAAAGTCGGTATCTTTACTACACTTTTCAAAACAGTGAAGCAGATTTATGAGAATCATTTTAACC